AAGTGAGAAAGCTGCCCACCTCAGGTTTTAAACTTAGTATAATCTTGATACAAAAACAGGGAAGGACAGTATGTATAAGAAAATGAAAAGTGAATCTTCTGAAAATGGATTTGAAACATCTAAATACAATACTAGCAAATTGAATGTATCATTATATTAAGAAACAAAATATCAAGATCAATTATTTCATTTAATAGTTTAAACCAAATAAAGTTAACCAAAACTTCCTTTGGTAGACATCATACTTAACAGTAAAACTACAGACCTGTTCCTTTTAAAGTTAAGAACAGTATGTGGTGCCCAAAGTCAGACTTCTGTTACTAATCAACTGAACTTCCTGGTTAATTCCAGAAAACAAGAAAAAGAAAAGAGAGGACCAACCTGTTTGTATTTGAAGTCTATATGGTTATCCATAGAAAATTCAAGAGAATTTGCCTGGCACAGTGACTCATACCTGTAAGCCGAGTACTTTGGGAGGCTAAGGCAGGCAGATCACCTTGAGGTCAGGAGTTTGAGACCAGCCTTACCAACATGGTGAAACCCTGTCTCTACTAAAAATACAAAATTAGCCATGCGTGGTGGCACATGCCTGTCATCCTAGCTACTCGGGAGGGTGAGGCAGGAGAATCGCTTGAACCTGGGAGATGAAGGTTGCTGTGAGCCGAGATTGCGCCATTGTACTCCAGCCTGGGCAACAAGAGTGAAACTCCATGTAAAAAAAAAAAAGAAAATTCAAGAGAATCCACAAATTATTAGAGCTGTTAATATCAGTTCTGCAAGGTTGCTGAGTTTCAGATCAGTAACGTTTTGATTGAGCCATATGAAATTATAATTTATGTAGGCCAAAATGGTCAAATAAATATATATTTGCAGTTTCGTATGATTTTTTAAAATTATTATTATATCATTTATTGAGTATTTTTTTTTATTGTACTTTAGGTTGTGGGGTACATGTGCAGACCATGCAGGATTGTTGCATAGGTACACACATGGCAATGTGGTTTGCTGCCTCCATCTCCCCGTCACCTACATCTGGCATTTCTCCCCATGTTATCCCTCCCCCACCTACCCACCCCTCTGCTGTCCCTCCCTTGGCCCCCACCAACAGACTCCAGGGTATGATGCTCCCCTCCCTGTGTCCATATGTTCTCATTGTTCATCACCCACCTATGAGTGAGAACATGCGGTGTTTGATTTTCTGTTCTTGTGTCAGTTTGCTGAGAATGATGGTTTCTAGATTCATTCACGTCCCTACAAAGGACACAAGCTCGTCATTTTTTAATGGCTGCATAGTACTCCATGGTGGATATGTGCCACATTTTCCTTGTCCAGTCTATCATCAGTGACCATTTGGGTTGGTTCCAGGTCTTTGCTATTGTAAACAGTGCTGCAGTGAACATACATGTGCATGTGTCTTTACAATAGAATGATTTATAATCCTTTGGGTATATACTCAGGAATGGGATTGCTGGGTGAAATGGAATTTCTATTTCTAGGTCCTTGAGGAAACACCACACTGTCTTCCACAATGGTTGAACTAATTTACACTACTCCCACCAACAGTGTAAAAGTGTTCCTATCTCTCCACATCCTCTCCAGCATCTGTTGTCTCCAGATTTTTTAATGATCATCATTCTAACTGGCATCAGGTGGTATCTCAATCAGGTTTTGATTTGCATTTCTCTAATAATCAGTGATGAACATTTTTTCATGTTTGTTGGCCTCATATATGTCTTCTTTTGAAAAATATCTGTTCATATCCTTCACCCACTTTTGGATGGATTTGTTTGTATGTTTTTTCTTGTAAATCCGTTTTAGCTTTTTGTAGATTCTGGATATTAGCCCTTTGTCAGATGAGTAGATTGCAAAAAATTTTTCCTATTCTGTTGTTTGCTGGTTCACTCTAATGATTGTTTCTTTTGCTGTACAGAAGCTCTGGAGTTTAATTAGGTCCCACTTTGTCTATTTTGGCTTTTGTTGCCAGTGCTTTTGGTGTTTTAGTCATAAGTCCTTGCCTATGCCTATGTCCTGAATGGTTTTGCCTAGGTTTTCTTCTAGGGTTTTTATGGTGTTAGGTCTTATGTTTAAGTCTTTAATCCATCTGGAGTTAATTTTAGTGTAAGGCGTCAGGAATGGGTCCAGTTTCTGCTTTCTGCACATGGCTAGCCAGTTTTCCCAACACCATTTATTAAACAGGGAATCCTTTCCCCATTGCTTGTTTTTGTCAGGTTTGTCAAAGATCAGATGGTTGTAGATGTGTGGTGTTGCCTCCAGGGCCTCTGTTCTGTTCCATTGGTCTATATGTCTGTTTTGGTACCAGTATCATGCTGTTTTGATTACTATAGCCTTATAGTATAGTTTGAAATCAGGTAGCGTGATGCCTCCGGCTTTGTTCTTTTTGCTTAGGATTGTCTTGGCTATTATGCAGGCTCTCTTTTGGTTCCATATGAAGTTTAAGGTTGTATTTTCAAGTTCTGTGAAGAAGGTCATTGGTAGCTTGATGGGAATAGCATTGGATCTATAAATTACTTTGGGCAGTATGGCCATTTTCACGATACTGATTCTTCCTAACTATGAGCATGGAATGTTTCTCCATCTGTTTGTGTCCTCTGTTATTTCCTTGAGCAGTGGTTTGTAGTTCTCCTTGAAGAGGTCCTTTACATTCTTTGTTAGTTATATTCCTAGGTATTTTATTCTCTTTGTAGCAATTGTGAATGGGAGTTTGCTCATGATTTGGCTCTCTGTTAGTCTGTTATTGATGTATAGAAATGCTTGTGATTTCTGCACATTGATTTGGTATCCTGAGACTTTGCTGAAGTTGCTTATCAGTTTAAGGAGGTTTTGGGCTGAGATGATAGGTTCTTCTAAATATATAGTCATGTCGTCTGCAATAGAGACGATTTGACTTCCTCTTTTCCTAATTGAATACCCTTCATTTTTTTTTTTCTTGCCTAATTGCTCTGGCTAGAACTTCCAATACTATATTGAATAGGAGTGGTGAGAGAGGGCATCCTTGTCTAGTGCTGGATTTCAAAGGTAATGCTTCCAGTTTTTGCCCATTCAGTATGATATCGGATGTAGGTTTGTCGTAAATAGCTTTTATTGTTTTGAGATATGTTCCTTTGGTACCTAGTTCATTGAGAGTCTTTAGCATAAAGGGCTGTTGAATTTTGTTGAAGGCCTTTTCTGCATCTGTTGAGATGATCATGTGGTTTTTGTCTTTGGTTCTGTTTATGTAGTGGATTACGTTTATAGACTTGCGTATGTTGAACCAGCCTTGCATCCCTGGAATGAAGCCTACTTGATTGTGATGGATAAGCTTTTTGATATGCTGTTGCAATAGGTTTGCCAATATTTTATTAAAGATTTTTGCATCTACGTTCATCATGGATATTGGCCTGAAGTTTTCTTTTTTTGTTGTCTCTGCCAGGTTTTGGCATCAGGATGATGTTGGTCTCCTAAAATGATTTGGGAAGGATTCCCTCTTTTTGTATTGTTTGGAATAGTTTCAAAAGGAATGGTACCAGCTCCTTTTTTGTATGTCTGGTAGAATTCGGCTGTGAACCTGTCTGGACCTGGACTTTTTTTGGTTGGTAGGCTGCCTCAACTTCAGCCCTTGTTATTGGTCTATTCAAGGTTTCCACTTCTTTCTGGTTTAGGTTTGGGAGGGTGCAAGTGTCCAGGAATTTATCCATTTCTTCCAGGTTTACTGGTTTATATGCATAAAGTTGTTTGTAGTAATCTCTGATTGTCGTTTGTATTTCTGTGGAATCAGTGGTGATATTCCCTTTATTGTTCTTTATTGCATCTATTTGATTCTTCTCCCTTTTCTTTTTTATTAATCTGGCTAGCGGTCTGTCTATTTTGTTGATCTTTTCAAAAAACCAGCTCCTGGATTTATTGATTTTTTGAAGGGTTTTTTGTGTCTCTGTCTTCTTCAGCTCTGCTCTGATCTTAGTTATTTCTGGTCTTCTGCTAACTTTTGAGTTTTTTTTATCTTGCTCCTCTAGCTCTCTTTCAATTTTGACGATAGGGTGTTGATTTTAGATCTTTCCTCGCTTCTCATGTCAGCATTTATTGCTATACATTTCCCTTTAGATACTGCTTTAAATGTGTCCCAGAGATTCTGGTATGTTGCGTCTTTGTTCTTGTTGGTTTCAAAGAACATCTTTATTTCTGCCTTCATTTCATTGTTTATCCAGTCGACATTGAGGAGCCACTTGTTCAGTTTCCATGATGTTGTGCGGTTCTGAGTTAGTTTCTTAATTCTGAATTCCAATTTGATTGCCTTGTGGTCTGAGAGACTGTTTGTTATTATTTCCATTCTTTTGCATTTGCTGAGGAGTGATTTACTTCCAATTATGTGGTCAGTTTTAGAGTAGGTGCAATGTGGTGCTGAGAAAAATGCATATTCTGTGGATTTAGGGTGGAGATTTCTGTAGATGTCTATTAGGTCTGCTTAGTCCAGATCTGAGTTCAAGTCCTGGATATCCTTGTTAATTTTCTGTCTTGTTGATCTGTCTAATATTGACAGTGGAGTGTTAAAGTCTCCCACTATTATTGTGTGGGAGTCTAAGTCTCTTTGTAGGTCGTTAAGAACTTGCTTTATGTACCTGGGTGCTCCTGAATTGGAGGCTTATATATTTAGGATCATTAGCTCTTCTTGATGCATTGATCCTTTTACCATTATGTAATGCCCTTGTCTCTTTTGATCTTTGTTGGTTTAAAGTCCATTTTATCAGAGACTAGGATTGCAACTCCTCCTTTTTTTTGCTCTCCATTTGCTTGATAAATCTTCCTCCCTCCCTTTATTTTGAGCCTATGTGTGTCCTTGCACGTAAGATGGGTTTCCTGAATACAGCACACTGATGGGTCTTGACTTTTTATCCAATTTGCCAGTCTGTGTCTTTTGATTAGGGCATTTAGCCCATTTACATTTAAGGTTAATATTGTTATGTGTGAATTTGATCCTGCCATTTTGATGCTATCTGGTTGTTTTGCCCATTGACACATTTTTTTTCATTGTGTTGATGGTCTTTACCATTTGGTATGTTTTTGGAGTGGCTGGTACTTGCAGTTTCATATGATTAAACCTAATACAGAAATCAGTCACATTCCTGTCTACCAGCAGTAATCATTTAGTAAATGCATACTTTTTTAAAGGTCCTATTCACAGTAGCCACAAAAAAAGTATCCAGGAAATAGCTAAATAAGAAATGTATATCTTGGGGAGGAACATAATCAAAAGACCTGAATAAACAGAGAGATACCATGTTCATGGATGGGAAGGCTCCATATCATAAAGAGGTAATTTTCCCTAAATAAGTTTATAAATTTGATAAATGCTAATAAAAATTTCAAATGATTAAGGGTGAGTCAAATAGGCCAATAGAAGAGACTAGGGGGAAAAATCCAGATATATTGACAACCTAAGTGTAAACTTCAAAACTTTTACAAGAAACTGTTGGCAAATATCTTCATTGCCTTAGCATAAGAAAAGATTTCATAAACAAAAGATGAAATTATAAGATGCATCATATGGCTGCCTGCCATGCCATTTCTAGAGCTGGACATGAATTTGCTTGCAAACTGAGTGCCCATGGGGCTGGAGAAATGGCTCTGCAATGCCACTGCCTCCATCCTGGGCAAACCTGCGGACCACATGAACGTGACTGTCTGGCTGGGCCTGGCCCTGGCGCTGAGTGGGTTTCACTGAGCCCTGTGCACAGCCGTCCATCTCCTCCATTGGCATAGTGGGCGCCTCCGAGGACCACCGCAACCACAGCGCCCACTTCTTTGAGTTTCTCACCAAGGGGCTAGCTCCAGAGCAGGACAGGATAATTATCTGCTTTTTACCCCTGGAGCCCTGGCAGATTGGCAAGAAAGGGACAGTCATGACATTTTTATGATTGGCACAGAGGGATCCAGGGCATCTGTGAGCTGGCTACCTCTTCCAGGAATACCTCTTTGCAGAGTGAGGGCCTGGTGATACCAGCTTCAGATAATCCTGCATGCAACATTCCTGTGATCACATAATCCTCTTCTTCATCCTCATACAAAATAAATGAAGAGAGCTTCCTCATTCAAAAAAAAAAAAAAAAGATGCATCATATGATTGTATTAACTGTAAATCTTATGTATGACAAAAGATGCCTTAAACAAAAGACAAACTGTAGACAGAGGATATTTACAACACATCTGACTGCCAGAGGCCTTGTATTCAGAATATATAAAAAAAACTCTAATCATTTAATATGAAAAATACAAACAACCTAATCAAAAAATAGGCAAAGTTTGGTTGATTTCTTGGAATATGTATTGCCTATTATTTTGTTTCTGCCAATATTAAATATGATATTTCTATTGATAGCACCTTCAAAGCAGTTTAGTTCTTATTAGTTTTGGTAAATTTGTATGTGAGTGGTGGCTATAGTGGTGATTATATGTGTTTTTGTTTTTGAATATTTTGAGACGGAGTTTCACTCTTGTTTGCCCAGGCTGGAGTTCAGTGGCATGATCTCGGCTCACCGCAACCTCTGCCTCCCAGGTTCGAGTGATTCTCCCACCTCAGCCTCCTGAGTAGCTGGGATTACAGGCATGCGCCACCACACCTGGTTAATTTTGTATTTTTAGCAAAGATGGGGTTCCTCCATGTTGGTCATGCTGGTCTTGAACTCCTGGCTTCAGGTGATTCACCTGCCTTGGCCTCCCAAAGTGCTGAGATTATAGGTGTGAGCCACTGTGCCTGGCCATGATTATATTTTTGTGAACTCACAGAAGAGAAAAGAAAATGGCCAATAGATATATGAAGAAATGTTCAGTTTTACTTTAATAATTTAGAAAATGCAAATTTAAAAAATTTTAAATTCTGAGAGTGGTCAGTCACATTTGACTAAGAGCCAGGTTTGTAATCCATCTCACAGCTCAGCCATGTACCAGCAATGCAGACCCAGACAAATTTTGTCTGACTATATCCTTTTTTTTAATTTTTTTTATTTTTTTTTTATTTTTTATTTTTCCCCATTTATTTATTTTACTGCATTTTAGGTTTTGGTGTTTTTTTTTTTTTTTTTTTTTTTTTCTGAGACTAGGTCTTGCTCTGTTGCCCAGGCTAGAGGGCAGTGGTGCGATCTCAGCTCACTGTAACCTCTGCCTCCAGGGTTCAAGCAATTCTTCTACTTCAGCCTCCCAAGTAGCTGGGACTACAGGCGCTCACCACCATACCTGGCTAATTTTTATATTTTTAGTAGAGACAGGGTTTCATCATGTTGGCCATGCTGGTCTTGAACTCCTGACCTTAAGTGATCTACTTGCCTTGGCCTCCCAAAGTGCTGAGATTACAGGCATGAGCTACTGCGCCCAGCCTGTCTGACTATATTCTACTTGGATAGATCTTAAATAAATGGAGAGTAACCTACCTCTGAAAATGCCAGCTAGCTAGCTTCTTACTCAGAGCCCTCCCAGGTGGCATTACCTTGGTGAAGTCATAACTAGGGTCTAGACCTTATC